TGATATGTAAAATATGGGTCGGTGGCGTAGTGAGTAGCATGTCGCGCGCAGATGTGGAGGAGACTGGTTTTTGGCCTGTAACAACTCTCCAAAAGTGATTCTGTTCATGACAGAATGCAGGGTACTTCGAAATCATGCTTTAAGTTTCTCAGTGCTTTTTCTTTACGGCCAAGCATATCGTTACCCCCTTTTTCTCTGAGCGAGCATAAACATTGTACTCATCGATGGTTTCTTTGAGTTTCGACGGTGTCACATTCATATATTTTGCAACTTCGTCCAGCGTACCAAATTCCTGGAAAAAATCATCGATGTGCACTTTTAAGCAAGATAATGACGAAACCCCGAAGGGCTTTAGCCGCTGATGTGTATCCTGAGCAAATCCAATTCATTCCGAACGTTTTTTTTAGACCAAGGATATTTGTCGATTAGCAATAAATGAAGAGTACATTTCATAAATTCAAGTGTTCCAGCCCCTCATTTTCTGATATCTAATTTGGCTACGCGTTAAAGGCCTAAGGATCCTGCAAGCTCCTTCACTGTTCGCCGATGAGAACCATTCATAGACAGCATTAAGACAAAAGCAATGGAAGCAGAAAAAGAGAAAAATTCACTGTATTTCGGAAGTATAAATTACCTTGAAGAAACCTTTGATTTTGGCATAGAAATTAAATGAGGCACGACCGAAATCGTCAACTGCCTGATTATCCATAAGCATAAATGCAGTGTGAGCATCACCAGCCTCTTTGTTTTTTGCGCAGAATTCTAAGATTTTGCCCGTCAAATAATCACGGCGGCCCAACTCATTCGCAAATCGCTCCCCGTTGTTGTTTAGCTACAAATTTTGGAAGTGTTTAAAACGCATGGCAAAGTTATTTCGAAGCTTGCAGGACTAGTATCCTTGAATTATATGCATACTGTATCAGGTGTTCTCTATGTATAGCCAGAGTATAGAGGTCACAAATATTTCTTGCTTTCAGATTATTTCCGCCCTTTTTTTGTATCAGTCAAAATTCCCTTCGTATTCACTCTCCATGGAAAAGCAGGCACTCTCGAAACTAGTCCATACGGTAACAAGTAAGCAGCCAAGCAGTAGAAATGCCAAAAAATCAAATCGCTCTCAAATTTTTTCTTAATTAACCTTCCGAAACGGTAACTACCAAAAACGGTATAACTCAGTTAACTTCCGTGCCTCTGAAGCCCGCAAAGTAGCTCAGCGCAGCTGAAACAAAACATACTAAAATAGCGCCTTTTCCTCTCAGTGCTTCCGCGGCAAGGAACTTTGTTGTAGCAGCTGGATCCTTCGGGTCCACAAATGCCGTTGGATGAATCTGCAAATCTTCTTTTACTCAGAAAAAAAACAGCCGCAGATTTAAGGCCTCTTTAAACTCAGCTTAAAGCTTTGCAAATCCAAATACTGAACATGCAAGATAAATATTATGTAGTAGTTGTTAACCGGCAAAAATCTTTTCGTCTACGGTTCAGCCAGAATGGCCCTGTACGCGTGAAAAACGCTGAACAGCAGATCGGTATCGTAGCTTTTAGGTGGCTACAGTTCGAGTCTCATTTCTGAAGTTTAAAGCTAACAAAAATGCGAGGCGAAGCATTGAGGATCCTGTTTTGGTGTCACTGCTGAACAGAGCAAAACACAATCAAATACGCTGATCGCCAGAACTGACGAACATAGATTCCTCATCCACCAGAAGTCCAGCAAAGTGTAAGTACTGACCGGAGATTTGCAGTTCAGGATGGAACATCATGGTACAGTTGCAGCCTTCATATGAGGAATCTCAGTAGGATCACCAAATGGAACTCCTAAACCAGCCGTCCAGGCGGTTTTGACAATATTGGAACTAATTAAAGTGGTTTGTCAATATTTCTCGGATGAATTCCCATAAAATATCTCCCGATTCAGCGGCATTTTTATCCGGTGCTTCTTCTGTGTGGGCTATTGAATGAAGCCAAAAGCAAACAACAGTGGTGGTTTACCTGAACATAATTCATTCCAACCAGCGCAGCACCCATCGCTCGAGCCATTTTCACCCCTCGGCCAGTGGCCCATGGACCGTTTGTTGTTGGAAAAGTCATTTTTTCAGGAGCAAATTCCTGTAGCAATGAGCCTTCATTGGAACGATCACAACTGAAGCCACCAGTAGCCAGGACAACTGCTTTTCCGGAAATTTCATCTGAAAATG